CAGCCAGTCATTGAGATCACCTGGAAGTATCACTTTTCCAGTGGCCTCTGTTAGTATTTCAAAGATGCTCTTCCTGCCCACCAACTACCCTTCCTTCTTCTTTCAAGTGGCATGAATGTTTATTGAATTTCTAATTGGCCTCAATCCCTTCAAGAATGGTTTAAGTCCCTTAATTGACCTCTTTGTAAATGTTTGGTGCTCTGTAAGGCAAGGCCAGCTTTGTCCAGGACCTACAGGCCAGGATGGGCTCCACTAGACCTTGCAGGGCTTGCCCCTACTGTGATTCCTCTATTTTGGGCTGGGGATATCCCCACTGAGGCTGTCCGCTCCTGACTGTAGCTTATTCTCTTCTGCACATGTCTCTCCTCCTTGTTCCTGATCGAGACAAATGGGGCTGCCACTTATTTTCTAGGCTGGTAATTTGTATTATCTCAGGTAATCATCAGATAAAACTGCAGGTTCAAACAACTTAGCTAAAATATGTATGAAGGGGAAACGATCTGATCCATGAGAACTGAATGTCTTTGATCTGTAGTATCTGAAACTATAAGGTATGTAATAAATTACATCGTCATCTTCTTAAGCAGTTCAAAAGTAGATTCCATTTGCTTCTGCCATCCTATCTCTTCATCAGAGTCTGCTTTAGAGCTAGCATAAGTCCCCCTCAAAAGGCTAATCCCTGGGGCTAGTCAAGCTAAACTCTATCAGCTATTTGGAAGCTGAGAGACCATGGAACAGAAATTCAGGCCCTCATTCTATGTGCACCAAACCCATGGACCTTCTAATTGGTTATGATAGTAATGATATGAAGAAATCACCCCATTTATGGCAGGGGTGGTTTTGTATCACTCTGTATAGATGTTGATATTTTCTAGAAAGATGAATTATAGAGAAGAATGTTTCTTGGCATATGTTATATATACACATTTTATTAACATCCATTGATAAATATTATGTCCTTGGTATTTTTATTAAGTGTAATAACTATTACAGATGTATATATTTTAAGCATACTTTCCCCATAATTGCACAAAGTAGAGTATCTTTCAAGTAGTTGGAAATCCATAATTATCAATTCCTCTGTCCCAGTCACTGGGTGCCAGGCATTTCTCAGGATCCTTCCCTGGAGCCTTTCCTCTGTGGGTGGGATGTTTAATTCATAGATGAATGAATCTCATTTGTGTTGGTGCCATGAAAAAAAACTGTAAGAAGTGGGGCCGTGGTCCTTCCTAGACATAGATCCTTCCTCTCTAACCAGCGTCCCCCTCCAGCCCCCATCCTAAGTGTGGACAGATGCACCACGTAGACTGACTTTCAGGGTCTCTCACAGTGATTCAGCCTGCCCTGTGACACTTTATGGCCCTAGACATCAGTTAGTGTGTTTGAGTTTAGAACTCTTTTCAAATGTATGGGTTCTTCTAGATTTTCTCAGTTCCTAAAGCTGAGCATGTTAGATCCACCATTTAGGGGTCTAATGTGACAGCCTTTCTTCCTCTGGCTTGGTTGAAGTAAAGAGGGACACTGTTCCCTGCCCTGTGCAGCTGAGGCTGGCATGGTGACACCCCTAGACCATTGGCCTAGTGCAGATGAGCCCAGTCCTTCTGCCTGTTGTCCTAGCTAGAGCCACATGTGACTGAGCAGTTCCTGAGTGTTGCCAAGAGCTGTCTTGATGCTCATCTTCTTATTTAGGTGTATGTTTGTGGAGCTATCAATTGAGGGGATTCTTCCAAGTTGTTCTTAAGTACATCTCCACTAGATGATAAAATGACTAACCAAAAGGCCAACCCAAACAGAAAGGCCTCAATTTCCTCTCAATTTGGTCCAGCCTTTCCCAGATGCCTTCGAGCTCCATCACCTGCAGTCAACGGGAAGAACAAAGATGAGGGCTTGGAGTCTGGGCCAAGCTTTGGGGTCCATGCAGCAGAAGCACCCTGAGAAAGAGCAGAGTTGATGGGGCAGAGTTGTAACTTTTGAGGGAGACTGAGAACTATCTGCAGGCCCAGGAAGACCTGGGCCTCTGATAATGTAAAGTAAATAGGATCTCCTTTTAGATTGAAAAACAAAGCAAAATGAAGAAGGGAGCTCTTGGGTTGTAAGCCCTGGTTGTGACAGAGAATGGGGTCAGGCCAGCACATCAGAGCACTTGTCCCATAAGCCAGTGGTATTCAGTCAGCAGTACGGGTCTGCAGGTGTAGACATGTTGAAAACCACTGGTCTACTGTCTTGATCTAACTGTGGCCCAGAGAGCGCTGTGCAGGACAGGAGCTGGTCCGCAGGTGTGCCAAGGTTTAAGCATCCTGATGGTAAAGTGGGACTCCAAAATGAGTCCCTTCTCAGCAGGGAACCTTCTAGAAGAGACTTTTTTTTCCATAAAGGTATTTCCCATCTGGATTTGGACTCTGCCTCACCAGTAGTAGCCCCTACCCTCACCCTCCTGCCTCAACAGGAAGAGTGAATTGGTCAGCCTGGCCCAGTGGGATGGTCTGACCAGGTGTGTAGGCTGGTCCCACCTGGCTGGCAGTGCCCATGGATATCCCTCTGCCTCTCTGCTCCTGGACCACAACTTCCCCAGACTCAGAGCTGGAACCCATTCCTCCTTTTTTGAGCTAGGCTCTAATATGGGGTTTCCCTCTCAGCTCTCCAGCTCTGAAGAATTTACACCCAAGGTTTTAGCAGCATCAGCCTCATTGGCTCCAGCTCCAGCAATTGCCTTCTGTAAGGCAGGGCAAACGCAATCAGTGTGGAGAATCATTTTCCTTCCCCCCTTGGCCTTGCTGGGCAAAAGGCTCGTTGAAGGACTCGTTTTGCATAATGAGCTTTCACTCAAGGTGTACCTTCACATTTTGTCAGCAATTAGGCAGGATTATTACGTTTGCAGTGGGTTTTAAATATTCCAAGGCAGGTACCTGTTTTTAGAGATTTTTATATCTAAAACTATGATTTTTTACCTAACAATAAAAAGTAAAAATGGCAATTACTGTTAACCTGGGAAAGTGACAAGGTTCACAAGAATGCTTCTGATTCCATCCAAGTCCTAAAGTGTGTGGAAATCATTAGGGAGTATTCAGTTCCTGAGACTGGCTCAAACCTTTCTTTGACATAAGAAAAAAAAAACAAGGCTTAGGGAATAAAAGTGAAGGAACTTATCTTTAGCCAGAGTCCCTCTCTATTGGACAAATATCCTGAGTTTCCAGGGGCTTTCATTTATTAGAACAGCAAGTTCAAGTAAGTAAATATTTTACAAGGTTCCACATTACCTTGGACACCAGACTGTTCTCTGTATGTGAGAGGACATGGATGAACCCCAGTTGGACATTTATTTTTTCCCCATGGTGGTGGAATGAGTTCATCTTGGATTATCTCTTCCTTGCCATTGTTAACAGCAGAATGTGTTTGTAACATACTTGAGCATAGGGCTTTGGCCTTTGAATATTTGGTCTTTGATATACTTGGTGGTAAATGCCCTCCTTACCACCCCCCACCCTCCATCTCTTAGTGAGTCATTTAACACTGGTGCTGAGTTTCAGCCATTTAATTTAGAAGATTACTATTGTACTTGAAATAACAAGTGGGGGTAGATGTGGAAAGAGCAGATTGTAGTAAGCATTTTAAGGAATGTTTCATGGTGTAGACCTCAGAGTCACCCTATCTAGATGGGTAAGGAGTCCAGCTACAAAATTAAAACAAGAGTAAAATGGTCAATTCCTGGGAATTAAAAATAATTTAATGCAGATTCCCCAGGATCCAGAGAAACCTGTGCATCTTTATTCATTCTCTGCAAAATGGAATCACTGCCCAAGAAGCAATATGTTCTGATTTTACTCTAAATCCAGTTTCCTAAAATCTATTTAAGGGCTTAGGTGAACTCAACAAGGATCTAATAAAGCCAGGTAATTGAACGGCACAGAGACTGATGAAATTCACAGGAGATGGTGTCGGAGATAAAATGCAGCGGGAGGCAGCATGGACAATAATTTAAACTAATTGTGCACTTTGATGTAAATTAACTTCTCAGGAAGAGAGATTGAAGCCTCATTTTGGACAGTTTGCTCAGACCATAGCATGCAGAGTATCTGCCAAAAACACATGCAACAAATAAGATATATCCAGGAGGAAATGATCTGAAAAGGACATAGACCCTAAAAGTGGCTTGGGGGTGATACTGAGGGGTGAAACCTCTCTACCTTGCAAATGGTGGATATAACTGCAACAATGAATGTTCTGGGGGGGCAATGAGTGTGCATGGGCACCCATGGAGAGAAAAGAGAGTAAACAGTGATGGTCTGGAAGAACAACGTTACTGGGAGTGGGGGAGAGGTTAATGTAACTATGCAGACATGAGGGACTTAGACCCTAGCAATTTTAGACAGTGGAACTCTTTGCCTTGGAGCATATGTGTATGCAAGCTGCATGCAAGTCAGGCTCCGTTATGAATCAACCAGATTGGCCCCAGTCTCTGTTTTTTATCCTTACACAGCCGGAACAAATGGCATTAAGCTGAATGTGTGCCTGTGGTTAATTCTAAGATGTAAATGGCCCTCTGCTTTTAGGTTTTGTGAGTGTTGGGAAACTGGAACTGTGCACCACGGTTACATGTCTCCATGTAAAAGAAATGTTGACAGTTGAATTATCAGCTGTTACAAGCACAGAGGATTAATCATAAGTGAGAGCAGCGAGGCATCGTCCCCTGCCATATAATTGATAGCAAATACACCTCGCACTTAGGAGGTGTCTGGGCTTATCTGTCAAACCAAGAAGAGCACTGCAGCTTCCATATTAGATGTGGATGTTTTTACTCTTCCCAGTGTTTAATCCATAGTGTCTGCTAAGAATTTTAGAGTAAATAGATTTTTTTTGAATTGCACATTAAATGCCTGTTTGGGGAATGATTTCTAAACTGTTGTTGTTTATTGTAGTGTTTAGAAGGCAGAGTTTTATGCAGTAATGTAAAAGGCTTCCAAAAATTTGACCTTTGCCTTTTATTTCTTTTCCTTATATAGGATGATTATTTCAGAAACTGGAATCCCAACAAGCCATTCGACCAAGGTAAAGGATGCACCATTTCTTGCTGTAGATTCCATGGAACATTCTGTCTCATGTTTTTCGTTTCTTGCATGCTGAACTCCCACAAAAGCTAGCCAAAAGTCTCATCCTACCGAATTTAGGGACTAAATTGACCAGAGTGATAGAATTGTTTCATCAAACTGGGTTATTTATCTGAGATTGTTTTGAAACTGATTAAATTTTTTTTAATTAACCAGTATAACCATTGGTTACTTTTGTTTAAAAATTAGCAACCACAGATACCTACCCAATAGAAAATGGTTATAAAGGCTAACCTGGGGCCAAATCTGTTGCTTTCATTCATGGAATAGACCATGCCAGCACAGAGTCTCCATCTATATGAGCTCTAAAAAGGAAATGTTCTCTCTGGTAAGATATTAGTATGAAGAGGCTTTCAAGGCCACTTGCATTTCACTTGTACAATGACTTCATTTTGGTTTCAAAATAGAAACTTGTTTCAGAGAGGAATTCACTACCACTTGGGCTTTTAAGTCTAGTCTTCAGAGGTCTCTCTGCCTTGATCTTAGTGCACATAAAACCATCAGGCTAGGATAAACCACCGAGTTCCTCAGATAATTATTCAAGACACTGTGTCTGTTCCCACTGCAGTCTGGGTGCAGCTGTGGGCAGTGTTGGTGGACTGTGCTTCCAGGAATCATACACAATCAGTGTTAAGATGTGGAGAAGACGTGGTACTTGGCTGACCCCAAAGGTTCCAGCTTCTGAGATTAGCTTTCATCCTATAGCTGCTGTATTTGATGAGATCATGTAGATTAGCTTGACACACAAAATGAAAGAAGTCATTGACCTGTACATAGCATGGTAGAAGTTGTCTTGCTTTCCTCATCCCCTCTGCTGTGATTTGGATTAGTCTCCCTGCACTTGGGTTTTCTTATAAGGAGAGTTGGCACCAACATTTCCACCTGTGTGTTTAGCTGTCTCTCAAAGTGGTTCAGTGTTTTATTGTTGTTGTTTCATTCATTCATTCATTCATTCATTCCTTTCTTTTCAAATACTCTCTGACTTTTCATTGTGTGCGCAAGTATCCAGCCAGGTCTTGGGTATGAATAGAGGAGATTGTGGTGTCTATCTTAGAAGAACTGAATGTGGTGTACAGGCAAATGACTCAATCAGCCTTTGTGTCAGTCGGTTGTGTGCGTTTATGCTGTAGGTGCTGTGAATTGGAGTAGAGGATGTCACAGGCACATGTATGGTGGGGCAGGGTGCAGGAAGCTTTCTTTTGGAGAATCTTCTCAGGCTGTACTGACCTTAGCAGCTTCCAAGGACCTCTTTTGCTTCAAATCAGAGGGTGACCCAATTGCCCTTTGACGATATTTGTAATTTAGAAATGTTGGGATGGAGCGATAGCACAGTGGGTAGGGTGTTTGCTTTGCACATGGCCAACCCAGGTTCAATTCCTCCATCCCTCTCGGAGAGCCTGGCAAGGTACCGAGAGTATCCTTCCTGCACAACAGAGCCTGGCAAGCTCCCTGTGGCATATTAGATATGCCAAAAACAGTAACAACAATTCTCACAATGGAGATGTTACTGAAGCCTGTTTGAGCAAATCAATGAACAACAGGAGAACAGTGCTACAGTGCAGAAATATTCCATCAGAAGTGGTCTACATTTCTACAGGTGTCTTTTGGAAGAATACTCAGATGCAGAGAAGACTGTTGGTTGTGCCAGGAAAACCCTCCCTCCTTCCCACAGCTTTCCTGGTCTTTTGCTTAGGGCTCCAACTAGCTCATTTCTTGTCCTAGAAGTCTCAAATGTTACCCAAGTGAATTCCCAGCTTCCTCCTTTTAGGGAAGACATTTTATTTTTAGCCAGATCCATGAAGGCAGAGAATTCATGGAAGTGGGCATGATTGACAACTCAGGGATGTAAGTGAAAGCTTCCTGTGACCCAGGAATTGGCATGAAGACTTTAAACACCAGAAGGAAAATGAGGTGGTTAAACCTCATCACCCAAAAATCCAAACAGAGACACTTTCTCTCCTGGAATGATGGAGACTCTATTCTGCTACTCTCTCTTCCCTTTTTGTAGTTCTGTGGACTTGGAAACTGGGGTTTCAATAAATCCCCTCTGGAAGCCGCATGACTTTATGGGGGAATCATTGAGGACCTTAGTGTGAGAAACTCCACTTTGTACCTCAGGTGTAGTTGCTGTCTGCTATTTATACACAGAGTTGTGGGGACAGCAGGCAGAGCTGAGAATAGCCTTCCCCTAAAATATCAGCCCCAGCAGATGCCATCAATTACACCGGGTGTTGCTCAATAAAAACGGAGGTTACTATATCAGCACTGACACCACTCAGTGAAATATAAGCCACCGGCATGGAAGATGTGGGGCATTTCATCTTCCAGAAAATAGGAGATTTGTTGAATTCCTGTAGAAGTTGTCAGCTACTGCAGATGTCCTTTTACCCTCCTAAGGTGGGAAAAGAATCAAAACTCTGTTAAGGTGGTTTCACATCTGGGAAGTTTTTTAGTTGGTAGGCATGACCTGTGTTGAAGCACAGTAGCTGTCATAGGCATTGGGGCTCTGTTGAAAACTCAGGAACATCATTTTTGGCCCCCAGGTCAGGAGTGAGCCCCTCCCTTGAAGGCATGGCTGCTTGGCTTCACTCTCCGGTTGTGCATTTCTTCACCTCTCCATAACCTATTGTAAACACACAAAGATACCCTGACTGTATGACTGTAGGTTCCTAAGCACACAACAACAGAACCAAAGGAACAACTCCAAACTGCAAAGGTTACAACTGGTAAAGCAATGCAAATACCCTCCATGGCTGAATGAGTAAAGACTCTAGCCCAGATGACCCAACCAGCAAAAATGAGCTATATAACCTCTCTGGAAAGGAATTTAGAATGGAATTGTTGAGAATGCATAGGGAGTTCAAAGAAACAATGGGATGCACTGCTAATAAAATACAAGAGGATATGAGAGCAGAAATGAGGAAAATAACAAATGGAAATACAAGCAGAAATGACATACCTGAAAAACTTGGTAGGTGAAATGAGAATTTCAGATGTTAAAAATCAGGCTGGATGGGGCTTCCCAATGGAGGAGAGTGTGGGTGGAGTAAAGTGCAGAGGTGAGGGGTGGTGAGCCTGGGGTACAGGGCCAGAGTGGGACCAGGCAGGGGGCTTTGAGACAGATGATGAAGGACTTTCCAGAGCAAGCCACAAAGTGTGAGCTCTTATTTCCTTGGCAAACAGGAAACAAAAGTGCAAATAGAGGAATGAGATGGAGAAGTGGTATTTATAGAACAGTACTTTTAAACCTTTTCCCACCCAGGGACACTCCTCGAAAGGGCACGGTTTGATGACTCAGCAGTCTCAGAACCCAGAATAGACTTGCTAGATGATATTCCTCATGCAGGACCCTGGGCTAACCTCTGACCTTGGTTGTTCCGGGAGGTCAGACTTACTATTCAGTTCAGTAGTGGGTCCATGGAGAGATGGCTCCTGGTTGGCTTCCAACTGGTGGGGCAATAGGTAGGGCTGAGGCTCCCAGCACACAGGAGGGGCTTCTGTCAATGTGCTCAGAGATATTTGCTGAACTTTGCACCATGGGGCTTCCAGGAGAAGCACTTAGTGTATGATTGACTGGACTCTGGGCAGTGAGAAGAAAGAGCCTCACCTGGGGGTCTCCCTTGGCCAGGCTGAAAGTGTCTTTAACTTGTTATCTTTAGGCAAATCATTAATGCTTCTGTCAGCGGACTATAATAGCCATCAACTTCAGGCTATTCTATAAAGAATCCTTTCTGAGGTTCGGGTTAAGTAGGATATCCTTTTTGATTGTAATGATTTAATGCCAAATCTCCTCACAGAAGGGACCAGCAGGAGCTAGGGTGTGGAAGGGAGTGATTATTAGCTCCAGGGAGAGGTTTTCTTGATGAAGGGCACAAAGGCACCCTGTGGAGAGAGGGGGGCAGACTGTACCACTGAGCAGATGCATGTGGCCTTCTGTTTTGTGCTGGCAGGACAAGGTGGTGGGGGTGGCTGGGAGGGGGGATGGCAGCACTTAGGAAGATACTTTGACAGGAGGTGATCAATTCAGGAGAGTCTGGAATTTTGGGGTGCCCCTGCTATTTTGTCATTTTGGCACCTCAGCAGGCCCAGTTGGTGCCTAATTGACAATGGGTTAATCTTCTGGAAGTGGTGCGGGTCTAGTAAGATGGTTTCCCACCGCCCCCCCCCCCTGCAAAAAAACAAAAACAGTTCCCAGTTGAGGAAGTTAAGAACATACATGTGCCAAATTCTTCTCTTGAAGACTCACCATTTGGAGATTCACAACACTCATCACCAATTTAAATGTCTCAGGAAGACTTTCAGTAAAGGAACTCACTGAAAAGTTTACTGTTTTCTAAATTTTCCTTTGAAATCATGTTTTATTTTTATGTTGCCACTCCACACCTATCAGGTACCCAGAGAGTAAATAGAACACTATTGGGGGAGGGGAAGGATACACTTTGATCATTGTGGCATAAGGTCTTGGCATTTTGTCAGAGTCTCCAACTTCCAAACTCAACAATACCACTTACCAGCTATGTAACTTTGGCTAACTTCTCTGTTTAACTTCTCTGATTCTAAGTCTCCTCCCTGGAAATGGCAACAAGCAGAGATCGAGATGGTTAAACAAGTTAGAATTTCCAGCAGATCCTATTAAATGTTGTTTATGTAATTAATGTTTTTTTCTTTTTTTCTTTTTGGATTTACCTTCCCTTCCCTTTGTATCCTCCTTTTCACTCTTCTTTCTTCTCTCTTCCCTGTGGGGGGCTCTGGAGCTGGCCTATTGTACTAAGTGCATTGTCACTAAATGAGGGTGGTTTCCCTTAGAGTCTGAATGTTGGATCAGAAGAGCTTTGGACAGAAGATGTTCATTCCTTTGTTTGTTCATTTATGCATCCCATCAGGCTGCCCAGTGCTCGGTGTTGACCCTTCTGTTGGGTAAAGAGCCACCCTCAGGAAGTC